TTTACAGTTTCAAAATTGATTGAAACTTGAAACTGTTCCTTATGCAAGGTTGTTAGTGCGCGTTTCTTTAACAAGGTCCAGAAACAAAAGAAACTTAAGATAAAGTTTCAGCGTTTTGATTGATTTCAAGAGTATAATTAATTATATTGATCTAAGAAGAATCGAACAATGTGTTTAGTTTTTGAAGAAAAAAAACAGAGCATCACAAAATTGGTCCCGGAGCAAAAAAAAATTAAGGAGTTTTAACAATTGCAATCGCGATATTAATCAAAAGATATTCAATTCTTCGGCTAGATTTTTTAAAAGAGGTCAACGATTGTAACGTTGTGCTGAAATAGGGCCTCCATTTCAAATTCCAAACAACCGACCTGAGAAAGAGGGATTGGAAAAGATTATAGGGCAGATAATTGAGAGGTTTTGAAGAGGAAATTAGTTACGAGAGCTAAGCTGACATATAGGAAACAGATTACAGAAGCTTTGTTTTATAACATCAAAGAAATGAAATATTTGAATTCAGTTATATGGCATTGAATCTAAAGCACGAAATGTAATTAAAATAGAAGTCATTAATCCGACTTATGAAGAAAATAACAGATTAGATCATAATAAAACAGTACCCCAATCTATTTCCAGTTTCAGATCGATAATATTGTAGGAAAGTAACTTTTCGGGCCAATCAGAGTTTGCACTTTTGCAAAATTGATACAGAAGAAGACTTCGCTATTTTAAATTAATGGAGCACTTCAAGTGGATTAAATAAAAATTAGAACTTTTGAGAACTCTCGAAAAAAAATGACAAAACATTTATGCTTGAATTAGATTTATTTTATTCAGTAAATCCTTCGATTTTTTAACTAAGCGTTTTCTACGAAGGCTTCTTACACCATCGAAAAAATAAGGTTGTTCAGAGCTCAAAAAGATACTTCAGATGTGATCAATTTTCGCAAAAAATAAGGGTTTGAAAATCGCTAACTGTTGGCTGATTTGGGTAAAACACACGTGTTCAGTATGTTTCCGAGCCATATTTGAAAAGTTCCATGACAATCTACCCTATGCCAAATTACTCTATGACAATTTACCATATGTTCTACAAAAAGTTCAGGTGGCCAGAGATAACTGAGCTGACTATCTGGGTTTAAGCTTCGCGGCGATAACCTGCTCTAATTTTTGTATAGAGTCCTGCCCTCTGTAGGCAAGCTCGTAACAAGTCGGCGTGACTGTTACGATCTTTCCAAAATTTTCTGATGATTTGAACATTGTCAATTTGGCTAAAAAGAGACAATAAAGAGCGAAATATTTTGTTCATTTAACGCTTGAGCCGCTATTTAATACGGCCCAAAGACTATTTTATTTGACTTGATGCAAGCTAGTTTGAAATATTAATACATCGGTAAGCGCTGAGTGCATCACTTTTTACTTAATAAATAGTGCAGGAAAAGTATTTTGAAAATCTGGAATTTTTTGATTTTCATTAAAATGCGTTTACTGTTTTTAATGATATACGAGACGCTGATTAAATCCTTAAATGCTATACATATCCCTAAAATACACAATACCTAATTATAGATAATCCCTAAAAAACTGAACTATTTTAGCAATGAAATACGTGCAGTCTTGTTTTTTTCTGCTTTTTTTCCGCTCGAAAAAAGCATCCATGGTGCAACGTAACGCTGCCTGTACTGTCAAAAAATGTTCAAGTTTCGATCTGAGTAATTGCCCATCATGCACAGCTCCACTGCGGTATTTAGTAACAAAACTCCGAAATTTGAAATAAAGTCAGTGCTTATTGTCGGCATAACAAAGGAGTGTTTCTTGAGCTAAATTTTTTCTTAAGCGTGTTTGAGTTCAGAGCATTCTAATTATTGAAAAAATTTTAATATTCGACTTTCCAAGAAAGGGATGAAATATTTATGCTCAGGGTGGCTTTGAATTTTGTCCTACGTGTTTTGACAAAGTTTTTTTGTAGCATGTGAAAAATACTGCTGTCCTCAGCTCAAAACTAGAAAAAAGTTTCCTGTCTGATAATTTTCTATAAGATTCTAATAATTTTAGGTCGGCGTCTAACTTATCACTACCAGTGAATTTAGAAATTTTATATGCTTCTTCATTGCTTGAGTTTTTAATTTCTCAATATCTAAGTTTTCAGTTTCTATTCAAAACATAAAACATCAGTTTCTAATGATTCAAAATATAAACCGAACTGGGTCATACAAAAATCGACAGCCACGAGTCTAGCAATTGCTCGTTCTATTCTTTGATGCTGCAAATGTAATCCAAAAAAAATCTGCTTGGCGAAGTATCCCACACTACAAAATTGATTTAAAATGAATCATGTCAATAAGTTAATTGGTCTCATTAATTCCATAAATGATCCAATTTTTATCACAAACAATTTTGATCTTATAGGCCTAAAGTTAATTGTTTCTGAATATTTCCCTCCTAAAAACTATTTGGTCCCACTTTAAATGTGGTAAAAAATTTTCCTTGTTCAAATTTTTGTCCGGCGATGCTTTGATTCTTTTAGTTTGACTGAAATTTCATTAGGCAATGAGTTGAGTTATGATCGATGGGTATAACTCATAGAGTAATTTCGGATAGGGTACACCGTCTGCTCGTCACGCTATCTTATTTTCGGCCGGATAGATTCGTGCAACTTCTTAGTCTAATACCGATCCTAATCTTACTCTTATACTATCTAGTCTCAGGTTGTTTAACTAGTCTCTGCTAGGCTCAATAGATCTAGGGTATACTGGTTTATTGCGGTTGCTGAAGTACTCGGGAGAGTTCAACTAATTTCTAAGTTAAATTCAAATCTCTCTGGTGCTGAAATTACAAGTAATTTCAGCACTTACAAATAAGTGGATTGTTAGTTAGATGGATCATGATTGGTTAATATTAAATACTTTACATTGGTAAAATATCTAATTTATCCAATCATAAAATGTAGTTTAGATCAGGTTCCACCCATCCGGGTTTTACAGAGTTTTTTAGAATAGTTTTTCTGCAATTCGAAAGATGGATGATGGACGTTGGTATTTGGCGAACATCTTATTTCTTCTGGGTTTTCTTATTAGAGAAGTCCCAGATTCAATCATTGTGTCTTCTCAAGACAACGACTGGGTTTTCGCAACAAACTCAAATCTGATTTCAGAATGGTTGGCTATGTCAGGTTTTTCTGTTTCATTGGTGAGAACTTCTTTGTGTTTGACCTTGTCTGGGAATGGCGTGGAGATTGTGCGTGGAGGGGATGCCTGGTTACTCGGATCTGTACGTATACTTGAACATCGAGGTGGTCATTGGTCTAGTTCAATGAAGTCCTTTTCTGCGAAGTCAAGTCGTACTCTAAATCCTTTGAGTTGTGATTGTGGGCGGCATATTGATTGTAGTTGGCCATTCTTTCTCGAGTGTAGTAGGGTCGTTTTGTCTTTGGATGTTCGTCCTTGGTGTTGTATTCTGATCTATGTATTGCATAATGTAATTTACATTTTATAAAACTTTTATTAGTTTAATATTTTTTAATTATGATTTTAGTTAGTTGTTTTCACAAAAGCTTTTTGTTTTAGTTCAGTTATTTTGAAGAGTTACTCACCCTTGAGTAGCTCTTATTAAAAATAGGAGTGTGGTCACAAAGCGTGGATGTAGCACGGTGGGTTAGGCCGGCTATAGAGCATGCTCAGGACGTCCTTCCTGGTGGGTTAGGCCAGGAGTGGGAGTATGATTGCATGCGGTTTTTGTGAGAGGTCCTGTTATGTGACAACGTTTTATGTTGGGTTTGTTGTGGTTTTTCTTATGTTTTGTTGGTTGTGTCCTTTTTTCAAAAATCAAATTGTTTGTGGTATGGGTTTGTCTTTCGACTTTTTTGTGTTTTATTATTTCTTTCTTAGACTTTATAATAGTCTTCAAAAGAATAAATTATCCAGTTTTAAACTGGGTTAATCCGGTTTGGGTACCGTTGGTTTCCTTTTCTTAGTCATGCTGTTATGCTATGTGTTGTGGTGTTTAGTAAGCTGCATTGGTTAGTTTTGTTTAGTATATAATTCCTTTCCAACCGGGTTAAAGTAAAGTTTGAAACATGTTATCTTGTGTTAGAGTTATCGAGTGTGAAAGCTTGGAACTGAAATTCATTACTTTAAACAATTCTTCGTGGGCGAGCTGTGCGAGTTTGGATAGAATTTTTATGCGAGTGAATGAAAATATCAAAAGGTTAGTACTGCTTTTGCTTCTTATGAATTTACTACATAGAATTTTAATTTTACTGCTAGTTGTTGGGGGAAATTAAGTTACAAATTTTCATCATTATTAGATTTACTGCTGGTGGGGGAAAAATTTATAAATTAATTTACTGCATTGGTATTATATTTATTTAATTGTTGGTGCAAAAATTTAATAGGGTCTTAAACAGTTTTGAAGAAGTTTGCTATTTTTTATTTTTCTTTTGTGAATTTTTCAGATGATCTAGGATGAAGGCTAAAATTCTAAAGAAAACATGGATAAAGAATGGTGAGTTTCTAATGTTTGAATTAATTAGTAATATGTATAATTCATACTTACCTGTTAGTCGTCGGGGAAGAAACCATGGGGGAAAATGTCGTGGATGAGATCTGAAGTTGTTAGTAGTTTGGCTAATATGCGGATGATATTTTTAGTTTGAAGCAGTGGCCAAAGCAATTGAAGTGCCTTAATGGTGGTTAGTTCTTCAGTGCCAACTGCAAATTCATAAGGTGTGTTTTGGATTAGATTATATAATTTGTGGTTGAATTTAGTGTTATGAATGAATTCTAAAATGGGGATTTCTATAGGTTGTACAAACTCGTGTGGGATGAGGAAGGGTCGGGATTCTTCTGCGTTGAAGGTCTTGGTGATGGGACAAAAGATATACATTTGGGTTATGGGATCATAATTTCGAAGAATACCATGAAGGTTAGTATCTTTAATGCAATATGTGAAGTTAAGAAAGAATGGTGAGGTGTATTTGGAATTGATGAATTGAAAACGATGGTGTGGTTGTCTGGAGGGAGTGTGTAGGTCAAAGTGATTTTGGATGAAACGATAATAAGTATATGTGTGTGTTTGTTTAGTGCGCAACATAATATCGTGTGAGCAGTGCAAATCTCTTTCATGTGGTGCAAGGAAACGAAAGGTTAGTGAAAATATTTGGAAGCGTTCTTTAAAACTTTCGTAGGCTTGCGTGTCTGTTAGTGCTTCTGAGATAATGTGGTCAAACTTGCGATCGAAGATATTTAGTGTAAATATATATGGTGCTTTAATGAAAAATTTCTCGGTGATTTGTGGGTTAGCGAAGCGATCGTCGTCTAAGAATTGATCTTGGTTAGTTCTGATGATGTTATGATCGTAATATTCTAGTGTATATTCATTAGCTCGGGGTGCAGTGTGTGTTTTTAGTGATTTTTTGTATCCAATGTAAGTAAATTGTCTAGGTGTTAGTGGTGTAGTGAGTCGATATAGCATGTCCTTATTTCGTTCTATATCGATATGAGTGTTAGATAAAGGTAAGCAAAGGGGATTTGTAAAATGATAATATGAGGTCCAAGGAAGGGTAGGCATTAAAACGTATTCGTCTACAAAGTTACGTGTCTCGTTAGTGTCATGAGGGGTGTTTAAGGTGTATTGTGGAAATGAGGGTAAGGTGATAGCTAAAAATTCTTTTGTGTTAGTGTGTTGTGGATGGTTGATATATTCACGGGCTGTT